GTGTCTCGCCGTGCCAATGCGTCCCATCTTTCTGCCACACACGCTGGGAAAACACCAAGAGTGTTGGACCCCACTTCTGACACCAGTCCACGTGGCAACATTTTCTGTACGACTGTGAAAACTAAGACGGCTCCGAAATGGCAACATTTATCATTTCGTTGGTTCGGGCATTGGATCCCACTTCGGACACCAACATACTGCCTGCCTATCTGTGTTACCGTTAAAAACGCGAGGACACACAATACTTCATGTCTTCATGTCATTTTCTGGGGGGTGGGTCAATCCTTGGATCCCAATCGTGACATCCAGTGACGACAACTGGGAAACACCCACAATTGGGCTTTTGTCATTTTCTGGAGGTGGCCGATTCTCGGATCCCACTTCTGCCACTTCTTGGGGATTATTATTATTATTATTTTTGCCTTTTCTCAATAAACACTGTCAAAAGTGTCTTTGATGTTGTTTTTAGGGCTGGGCCAATCCCCGTTTCCCACTTCTGAAACCAATTGCTGTGGGAAGACTGTCGTTGTGCTCAATTTTCTGGGAGCGGTCAATTCTTGGATCCCGATCGTGACACAAGAGTTTATACGACAGTCATGAAACGTCGAGAGTTGTATTTTTGATGATTAGTCTTGAGATCCCACTTGTCACAAAAACTATTTTCTGTTGTAATCTCCTCGGTCATGAAAGTAATCAAAAAGTAGTTTGACATTCGACACCCCAAAACATCGAAAAAGATCGAGGAGGGCAAGACAAAGGTTGCTGAAACAAGGACAATGTTCTCACTTGGGAAATGGCAAGTCTCTTTTTGTTTTGAGTCAACCCGAATCTTGAGCGTCGCAAAGATTTCAGTCGTTTAGCTGACGTCAAACAAACCACGGAAACTTTGCCAGCGCACTGATGCATAATTGACAAGGCCGCTCCAAAATTCCCGGCCGATCGTCCCGTTGAGACGAGGCGCTTTTGAACCAACAAAACTGGGCTGAGTAGAAAATCCAATATTGAAGTAAACATGCCGCGACGATGAGCACAAGTGCCAGAAAAGTGCTGGCCACTCACCAAGAGCGTCCTGGAGGTACTTTTGCCCCACCAGTTTGAGGTACTCCTCGATGGCTTTGGTCGCCAACGTGTTCTCGCGGAAGATCAGGTGCTCGTTCTCCCCGCAGCGGTCCACTTCCGACATCATCAGGTCCGTCAGGAAGTCCTGAAGGGCAAACAGACGCTCCCGTCATCCTACCGCGCCGCCACTCTCACGTGGGTCTCCGACTCCGCCGCGCCACCGGGTCTCATGTCATTCGGCTCATTCCAGCCGGTCATCTGGAAGATTCTAGTTTGAATTCCTGTCATTTCCTTCTGCCCCTGCGCCCACATCTCTCCGAAACCCCGAGGGGGGCTTTCAATGATATTTCTGTGGACGCGCTGACTTTCTTCGTCGTTTCATGAAACGGAGACTGTCCTCCTCCACCGACATCAACCTGGACAAAAGCAGCAGGCGGCGTCAAGACGACGGCGGTAAAAGCGCCTCGCCGCTTCTCCCTACCTGCTGATGATGCCCTTCATCTGGAGGTCCTTGTCGTCCTGCTGCCGGCGCAGGCGCTCTTCCGACTCCTCCAGCCGGGCCTGGTACTCCATCAGGACCTTCTGGGCCTGCTCGTCCTGGCCCTTGAGGCGGGCCTCGTACTCCTCCAGCTTCTGCACCGAGGCCCGCAGCTTCTCCTGCAGCAGCGCGATCTCCTGCTGGTACTGCGCCAGTGGAAAGAGCGGCCGTGAAAAGCATGTCCAGAACCGCGGTCATCTTGCCCGGGTTTGCTCTTTTCTTTTTCAACGACTTCGAGCTTGCGTGGATTTACGTGACGACGTGTGACCGGCCCAAAGCTAAGGTCAAGAGAAGGAATTGTTTGTTTTTTTATTTAAATGTCCCGGCGCCCATATGAAGGCATGCATATTTTAAAAAATGTCCCTGTGCAATTTGTGACAAATGATTTTGTGGACCCCCAGGGAGACAACCGCTGTGTCACGGTCCTCCTCAGCACCGGCGCCACCCGCAGGTGCAGCTCACATCTTCCTTCCACAATGGAGACAATTTACGGCGCAAGGAAGGTGCCTTTTTCTTTTTCTTTGCTATTCCTGACAAACGGCAGTCGTACACTTAAGCTGCTCTGCAAACGTAGACAAAAACACACACGCACACACACACACGTCCACTCGTGCCCCTAAAATTGTTGGACTGCATTTCCTCTAATAGTGGCTGTTAGGGTGTGTGTGTTTGTGTGTGTATCTATCTATCTGGATAGATAGCTATATTTTTTTACTAAAAAAAAAAAAGGCTATTCCTGACAAACGGCAGTCGTACACTTAAGCTGCTCTGCAAACGTAGACAAAAACACACACGCACACACACACACGTCCACTCGTGCCCCTAAAATTGTTGGACTGCATTTCCTCTAATAGTGGCTGTTAGGGTGTGTGTGTTTGTGTGTGTATCTATCTATCTGGATAGATAGCTATATTTTTTTACTAAAAAAAAAAAAAAGGCGGGGGCATTGAGGGTGGAAGGAAGGTGAAAAGGAGGTCAGGCAGGTTACCTTCTGCACCTGCGTCAGATCCTCTCTGTGCCTCAGTGAGTCGTGCTCCATGGCCTCATGGTCTAAATACTGCACATTCATATTCAAAAGCCACGCTGCCGTGCGGTCCAGCGCGCTGGGGTTCACGGGGGAGGGGGCCTAGTGGGAACCAACACACACACACACACACACACACACACACGCACACACACGCGCAAATACAGACATGAGCGGAGTGCACATAGAGGGTGGGGGAGGTCACAAACAAAAGCACAGGTACAACATAAAGCAGCTCGTCATGCACATCTGGACCACAAAAAGTGGGTGGAATGGACGCACGTTGCTCAAGGGCGGCGGCCATTCCTGCGACCTGCACGTTGTGTCCATCAAGGAAGTGGGAAGACGGTGAGCGTTCAATCATACGTCAACTTCTTGAAAAAGCAGCCACGTATCCACAGTGAAGCTATTGCATATTCCTATTCGCAATCTGGGGGCGGCGGTTAGTTGCGGCGACGCATTTTTTCTTTCATTTCATTTGTGTTACTACGGGTTAAGGGAAAAACAAAAAGTGCTTTGCTGCCATTGTGCAGAATCTGGATGCCAAGGAACTGAGTCGAGGAATCTGCTATCCACCAAGTCATCCCCCCAACATTTTATGTTGTCTTGATCGCAAAGAATTATTTTGGAACGGGTCGCTTCAGTTGGACAAAAATAGAGTTTTGCCACCACCCACCAGTGGCATCTTGGTGTTGGGTAACTATGTTGAAGTGGGTTGAGGAGTCCGAATTTGAGAGAAGCAGCGCTTGGCTGACTTAAAATTTTTCAACTTCATTGAAGTGAGTTGAGGAAATTCGCCTTTCCGCCAGTTTGCATGGGCACGAATACGACTCGTTAATGAGAAGAGTCCCGAGCATGCAAATTAGATGAGAGGAGGGAGTGCGCCCGCGTTGTCTTCATTTCTGGCGTCCGCAGACGCGGCCAGCCAGCGACTCCATCGACCGTCTTTGTTGTGTCATCGCTAAGCGCTAACGTGGCGCTCACCTGCTTGTGCTGCGCTCTCTGCTTGGTTTCCGGACTGTCCCCCTTGGACGAGGACGACTGTTGGCGCAAGCGGGCGCCGCTCGCGGGCCAGTCGGGCGACGAGGTCATCATGCCG